TTGATATATGGCACTTGCACTGAACTTCACTGCACTTGCTCTGAACATCTTATTATTTTCCTAATAAATAAAACAAAATTACACAGTAACTTTTGGAGAAAGCTTCTCATTAGGTGTCAGAGTGAAGAGAAAACCTCATGAGGCGTTCCAAGATGGGAAAGATTAGTCCCAAAGACTATGAATATGCTCAATTAAAATTTTAGCCCATTAGAATAAAGATCAAACCATGTTGCTCAGTGGCAACATTAAGGGAGAGATAGTAGAGGGTAAAGGAAAGGTCAAAGGTCAGAGGAATTTATAGGGAGTCATCCACTGGGGAATAAATATTAAAATTATTAATACTAAAATATCATGGCAGCCTGTACAGTAAAGTCTGATCCTGAATAAACACACTGTTTCTACTCACATGAATAAACACACAATATTATACACACATCATACACATAATAACACATTAACCAACACTGGGACACCAGATAAAACTATTTGTGATAAATATTAAACTGCATAAACACATTCTGGTTGATATATAAATATGAAATAAGTACACACACACACACATACACACACACACTGAGGCACGCTAAAGTGGGTGGGGCTTGCAGTAGTGTCCTCTCACTAATTGGTCAGCAACTTTCTTCCCCTCACAAAGCACAAACATCTGCTCTGCACCCGAACAGGTGACGTCCATCTCCAGTTACACACACAGGCAGCAGGCCAAACACACACATACACACACCCTTTTATTCAAATAACACTGAAACACACACCTATTGCATGTGAGTCTCTGGATGACAACGCACACACACAAATCCTCATAAAACACACAACAACAACAAAGGAGACGATGAATGTGTGACCACACTGCTCCACAATAACTGCATGAAGCAACACAAAACAAACACACTATTATTTGCATGAGTTCATGTTTCACACTGAACAGCTGGAGTTTAGTGTGTCGCTTCAGGGGGCACACTCTACATATGACCTACTTCAGGGATTGAACCTGTGACTTCTCTGTCACACAGGTGCTCCCTCCATCTGACAATCATCTCATTGTGTGAGGCGGCTGTTAGTGAAACTTTAAAGCTCAAACACACTGAGTGTGACAGTCCCGTGCTGCATTTATTTCTCACTGAGCAATTAAAAAACAACACATAGAGGGAAACAGGAGAGGAATGGAGAGAAGGAAACAGAGAAGAGGAGAGGAAAGAAGGGAGATGAGAGGGAGAGGAAGGAAGGAGAGGCGAGAGGAGGAGGGAGAGGAGAGGAAACAGGAGAGGAGAGGAGAGGAAAGGAGAGGAGGAGGAGAGAGAGGAGAGAGAGGAGAGGAAGGAGAGGAGAGAGAGGAAAGGAGAGGAGAGGGAGGAGAGGGAGAGGAAAAGAGAGAGGAGGAGGAGAGAAGGAGAGGAAACAGGAGAGGAGAGGAGAGGAGAGGAAACAGGGAGAGGAGAGGAGAGGAAGAGAGAGGAGAGAGAGGAGGAGAGGAGAGGAGAGAGGAAACAGGAAGAGAGGGAGAGAGGAGAGGAGAGGAGAGGAAACGAGAGGAGAGTGGAGAAGGAGAAAGGAGAGGAGAGGAGGAGGAAGCGAGAGAGAGAACAGGAGAGGAGAGGTGAGGAGAGGAAACGAGGAGAGGAGAGGAGAGGAGAGGAAACAGGAGAGGAGAGCAAAAGGATGAGGAGAGGAGAGGAGAGGAGAGGAGAGGAAACAGTAGAGCAGAAGAAGAGGAGAGGAGAGGAAACAGGAGAGAGAAGAAGAGGAGAGGAGAGAAGAGGAAACAGGGAGGAGAGGAAACATTAAAAGAAAAAAGATGAGTAACAAGGAGAGGGGAAAAGAGACCAAAAAAAAGTCATAAAGCTAACAAACAAGAAGAGAGGATGAGAAACAAAAACAAGGAAGAAACAAGGAAAGACAAAATTAACTCAAAAATGGAAACTAAGAAACAAGAAGCCAAAAGACAAGAGGAAGAAACAACAGACAAAACAAAAAGAACAGATACATTATTGAATGATTAGGGAACAAATCAAGAGGATTAAGATATTAAAAAGGAGAGACAAAGAAAAAGAGGAGAAAAAAGACAAGAAGAAGACAGATGGAAGAGAAGAGACAAATTATTTAATTGCACAGAAAAAGAGACCAGGGAAGAGAGAGGACTAAAAGATAAAAAAGAGACAAAAAACTAAAGAAAAGAGAAAAACAGAAGAAAAATAAAGGTGCAGAAAAGACAAGAAGAACAAACAGCTTTGTGTCGCTGTATTCTGACACAGCGGGTCGTCATGAGGGGGACATGAATGTCTGAATAATCGACACTTTAAAAGCACAAGCGACAACTTGATGGTGATAATAGATGTCGTCAGACTGACACTGTCATCACTAGAGCTAAAAACAGCCCAGAAGCTACAGCAACAACAACAACAACAAGAGCCCAACACCTCGTCTGTAGACTGTGGTGTGGAGGGTCATTAGCTTCAGTGACCAGCAGCTCTGGCTGAGTCTGTGAGTGCGAAGCAGCCAGGAGATAAGAATGCCTTAATCTGCCGATAAATCTTCAGGACAATACGCCGGCTCAACATGACCCTAAATCCTTCAGCGCTCACATTTACAGAGCGTCCTCTGGTAGTGACCCTCCGCCGCCCGGCCGCTACACAGGAAGTCTTTGTTGAAGCTGTCAGCACAGGAGGGTCGAGGAGAGTAAATCCACTCAGACAGCTCACACAGGTCAGTGTTTACTGGCCTGAGTTTTAAAGGCTGCGGTTAAAAGGGAGCTAGTCTAAACTCAATGAAGTTCAGATTAAATAAGAAATATAAAAGGACGTTATTATGAAAATAGAATGTCAAGAAACATCCACAAAGAGATTGTGCAGGGCCATGCTTTAAGTTTAGTTTCACTCCAAGTTCCTGTTCACACTCTTTCCCTGCTGCTTCACATTAAAAGTTTTCCAAACTAGCTGGAGACTTTTATTGTGAAAACAGCTATAGAAAGTGCAATATTTATGTCACTGAGATCAGTGGAGCATTGTTCACGGTGAAGAAGATGAGATGGGCTTATTCAACAGTATTTGGTCAGCAGGACAGTAAATGTTTAAACAGAGGCGGCCTCAGTGTGCTGTGGTCAACCGCAGCTGTAACAATCACTAATGTTGAGTTAAGGCCCGTTCGTGGTTTCCGCTCGCCCTGCGGACACGGACACGCATCTATTCATACAGCAATCAGTGGGCATGTGTACGGATTCTCCACTATGTGCAACAGAAAACATGATGGCTTCCTCCTGAAAAGAAAGAAGAAGCTCTCGGTTGTTTGTAACATGAAAAAGTCAAATGAACGGTGGGAAATAAACAAACTCTACATGCTGCAAAAAATGAGCGTCCACTTGACTTGACAGGCGCATGTGTGCGTGAACAGTGTGACGTCACATCACATGGACCCATGCAGCAAAAACCGCGAATTAGCCTTTGACTCACAGCAATTACAGTTAAATACATTGATCTGACAATGCAAGGGACATCCTAACAATAATTTGAAGGTGACAAATTTAGCAGCCACAATTTGCTGTATTATTAAAGCGTGGAATCAAATAATCAAATCTAAATCAAATTTGAACTTCCATCCATTTTTTGCTGCTTATCCAAGATTGGGTCACTCAAAGTAGTCCACATGTCCCTCTCCCCATCAGTGTTTTCCATCTCTTCCTGGGGGATCCCGAGGAGTTCCCAGGCCAGATACAATATATAATCTCTCCAACATGTGCTGGGTCTACACCGGGGGGCTCCTACCAGTCATACATGCCTGGAAGACCTCCAGGACCCATCAGCAGCTCTTCTCTGAGCTCCTCACCCCGTCCAGCCACGCTACAGAGGAAACTCATTTCAGCCTCTTGTTTCCATGATCTCATTCTTTCAGTCCCTACCTAAAGCTCATGACCATAGGTGAGGGTGGGAACCAAGATCCACTGATAAATCAAGAGCTTTGCGTTCCAACTCAGCTCCTTCTTCACCATGACGGTCCGGTACAACGCCTGTTGCCACACCGATCTGCCTGTCAATCTCCCGCTCCATCCTACCCTCACTCGTAAACAAGACCCAGAGATCCTTAAACTCCTTCACAGAGTTTCACCCTCAAGCGAAGTTAAAATCTGAATCTCAGCCTTCGCAAAACCAGAGTGAATTCTCTCAGGTATGAAAACTGTGCTCATCTCAGTGTCCTCATCCTTTATCCTGCTTATTCAAGTGCGATGCTTGACACCTCTAAACAAACTCTCATCTAAAGTGTCTTTCTTTTCAGTGTGTTAAAGGAGTCATAAAGTGCTGCAGCAGAGATCAGATCAGTCAGCTGTTGTGTTGGTGAATACCACATAAATCATATATAACCATGTGATGTGTGTGTGTGTGTGTGTGCTGACATGACGTGATGCTGGCAGCTTTGTCAGTCTTCCTCGTCACTTTTCGCTTTAGTGTTTGGAGTCAAAGCAAAGTATCAAAAGCCAAAAAGATCCCCACTTTGTGAAGATACACACTTCTCTCTGTGTTGGTTCAAACCTGTGGAGTTCAACGCGTCACACAGGAAATGAAATGTTTTGTGTTAAATCTAACTGATGGGTTGATTCATGTTAATTCTTCATAATCAATCCAAAGCACACAGAAATCCCCCCGTGACCTCTGTCCCATGTGTCCTTCACCTCCTCTGTGTCTGCTATTTTGACAACACACGGATCAAAGAGATAATAGAGAACCATATGGGGATTAGGGGATTTGCCCCATCTCGAGCTGATCCTAAATTATGAGAGGACCTCTTTAAGCCTTTGCTCTCTTGTAGGTTTAGGGGAAAGAAAAGTCTGTCAGTGTCAGAGGAGGTTTGGGAAAGTCGAGGAGATCTCCCTGTGAGTGGAGTCATGTTTCCCTGGTTTTTGTGTTTCTGTGGGATGGCCAGTCGTCCGAGGAAGAGGCAGAACGAGCTCTGAACGGGGCCTTTTAGTTATAAAAACAGACAGAAGTGATTCTCACCTGGCCGTAGTCTGTGGCAAAGGCAACGACACCTCCAGAGCAAGAGGACACGGTGCTGGGAAGGTACTGTTCATCCTCCCTTAACCACACCCGGTCACCCTGCAGAGAGAGAAAGAACACGTCAGTTTGAAGTACTGGAGTATTCAGCACTCAACATGTTAAATATAAGGTCCTAAATACACACTGAGATATGGTAACTGAAATTTATGCGACCCAGAAAAACCTTTATTTGTTTTCAGACATGCAAACCACTACAGCAGTAACCCTACTCATTTGGTGACATCAGAGTTTTCAGCCTCTGCAGAGACTAACATGTGCTTGATTTACCACATCGTGAAAACACAGCTGCACAGTGAACAGTTCACATAATCACCCGACATGTGTGAGAAAAACTATGGAAAATAAACATCAGGAAGTCTCAGCTCAACCTACGGCACCACAGATAAACCAACGCATCCAAAGAGTTCAGAACGGTCTGAAATGTTTTAGATCCAAACATCAACAGTTCAGCTTCAGTAGGTCTTCATGTGTCAGCAGCGTAGGAGTGAAGTGCCTACCTCATCTTTCGTGGTGGAAATTAACTGCAGTGCTGTACTGAAGCACAGTTTTGATGTACTTTGAACAGAAGTATAAAGCAGTGTTAAATATGCATTAAAATGTACAGGTGCACTGTCAGGAGAGGAAAACCAGGCAAATGCTTGGGGCCAACAGAGGGGAAATAGGTGCCCTCAATGGCCCCTCATATTTGCTCATTTTACATTGACAACTATAAACCCCCTTAAACCTCCCATAAAGACACTATACAGTACACTGCTGTTGCCCCAAAAGCTGTTGGCATTCGGGCCTGGGCCTCATAGGGAAATATTGTACTTTGTACTCCCCTACATTTATCTGACACTTTGTAGTTTTACTATATCATATTTTAAGGTCCCATATTGTGTTAAGTGAGAGTTCGATGTGTGGTTTGTTTATAAAGCAGGTCTGGGTTCTATATTAATACTGTGAAAGTATCAAACCCTCAGTCCACAGAGAAATGCACACAGCCTGTATTCAGAAACTGAGCCTTAAAACCAGCCGTCAGGACTTCTGGAACTTTGTGATGTCACAAAAAAAACAGTCACCACCCTCATCCATGCTCCAAGCCCCGCCCACCTGGACCAACCATCCAACCTTGCAGGATTTAGTTTCTCTGAGTGTTTACATGAAACCTACTGTATTTTCATTGGATCACTCAGAAGAGAGGCTCAGAGCCTCCTCTCTTTTGATTGGCTGACTGTCCTGTTGTTACTAGAGCTCCAGAGAGAAGCCTGAGAGAGGAGATGTAAAACTGCATTCAAGATGAACTTTTTATTCTTAAAACCACAAATATATATTCTTATGGATCAACCCTTCAAATAAAACAGGAAAAATGTAAAATATGGAGCTTTAAATATAAATATATTTATTCTGCCCTTGCTGCTTCCCCGGCGCAGCTATGCAGATAGCGAACTCATCCACTGCAGACACGTGAACGTCATTTTAGGATTTTATTCACAGGCCCACAGATAGACAGAGTAAAAACTGTAAAAAAGCATAAATCACAATTAGACTTGCCTTTTTTATTAATAAAAAAGAATGAACACAAATATACAGGTAGCAAATAAGAGCTAATAAGCTTAGTCAACACTACCTACAGATGCCTGCTAGATACCCGCGCATGTTAGCATGCTATGCTAGCGCCATGAAGCTAACACTAAATAAACGTTTTTTCATAAACTATCTAACATTCCTCACAAGTCATAAGCACTACATAAACGAACAAACTTACGAGTTGTGCTCACAGAAGACGTTAAAGACCTCAAATCAACAGCAATAATGTATTAGAATGACAGGAGAAATAGCAAATGTAGTGAACTTTCACTTCCTGTCACTCGCCCTTTTTTCTTTCTATTTCCTGTTTGAACCTTCAAACTAAAAGCATGCACGAAATAACCTAAAACGTCAGAAGTAGACAAATTTAACCCTTCACCAAATTAAAAGGCTCTGAAACACTGCAAGAGCCAGAACAATATTAAACAAATTAAATCCATTGTTTTCAATTAAACTACCAAAAGCAGTTTTACTTGAGTATCAAGCTCAGCTCCACAGTGACACGGCTCCAATGTGAAAAAATAACATGTATCTGTTTGTTTGCTTTTGTTTTTTAGCAGATTTGATAGTTTTAGCCAAGAAAAGATGTTGTACAGTTTAGCTGTGATCAAGTGATCAAGCGACATTTATTTATGTCACGTCATTACTTTGTAATCTCGCTTTTGAGGTCGTGTAATGCTATATTTAGGTCTTTGCTAATGGCACAAGGTCTGACGAGAAGATATATTAATCTCCATATGGTGCTGCCATGGCTTTACCAAGGCACTGACCTTTCTCTGGCCGGCAGGAGGGTCTCAGGTGTCCGGGATGCAGGCAGGACTCTGCAGTGTTGGGTTTCAGAGGTCTCTACCTGCAGCCAGTAAACCTGCATGTTTATTGATGATTTTTACTGAAAACACTTTTATACCTGTTGAAGTTTACTGCTCCTGGTTGCTACAGTTTCCCCCCTCCCCCGAAACACCTGGATATTTAATCAGAAGAGTTTCCTCACTCTGTTGTGTTTGTGAGGAGTTAGCAGAGAATTTGTAGAATTTAGGAAGAAAGTCTTAACTGTATGTTTGCAAGTCTTTTCAACGTTTTTGGTTTTGGACGTGACCATAGAGGAAAAATAAGAAAAATAATGGGTACCCCTTTAGAAAAATGTTTTTTCTAAAAGCATGGATTGTGATACTGGCAGCACCAGACTCGGCAGAGCCCCCCCTCGTCGACCGAGCTAAAGATTCGAGGGGCCCTTGGAGTGGATTCCCTCTTAATCGCGTAGCCACATGTGCCGCTGCTCATTAGCGTGACCGGCTAATGCTAATGGGAAAAACAAACGCTGCACTTTTTGTCAGATGCATTGACTTAACGCCCCTCCCCCCTCTCTCTCTGCACCGGGCACATGAACAACCTTTGACCCACAAGCCCTCATTTTGACAAGGTTGTCTGGTCTAGTGTGGCAGTGAGGGGCACCTGGCTGGGAGAGAAAAAAAAAACTGGCGCACGCACACACACACACACACACACACACACACACACACACACACACACACACACACAGAGGGTAAAGCTTGGGTCTGCAGAGTCAGCAGTGGATCAGAGGAGCTGTGTATTGATCTAAACCCCTGGCCGTCCTCTCTGAAAGGGGAAACCATACGATTCAAAAAGGTTCTGGGATCTCAGAGATGAATGTGACGCGCCAAGGAACATTCTTCTCCTGATCCCAACTCTGTCACATAAACTCTGGTGGAAAAATTACTCGTCTTTCTTGACTTTGTTTGGCAAATTTGTACAAATTGTTGTTGTTTTCATTTTTGTTGTGAATTTTTCAGGTATTTCTGCACTTTCTTATGACTTTTTTGCATTTGAATTTTGCATGTTTGCCTTGTTTTGAGAGAGATGGATGAGACGGAAAGGAAACATGGGGGGTGAGAACAGGATGACATATAGCAAAGGTCAAAACATGTGGATGGTATGATGATGTCTTTTATTCAAATATTGTCAGATTGACATTTTAAAGGCCCTTTCTTTTCAGTTTAGCTACAAGGCTAACGTTGCTAATGCTAAGTGGCCATTTCTATAGCTTCTGCTCAGGCCACATGGTTACATGCTCCATGATGTTTAGTTTTAGTAAACACAGAGTAACAAAAATGAAAAAGGTCTCTGAAGGTGCCTCAGTGTATTACATTTACCAGTATTGCAGGTAAATACTGACTTTGACTTCCAGTACTTTCTATCCTACAAATGTACAAGAAGAACAAAGCACATTAAAACTTGAATGTCTCATGGTATTGGGAGCTTTTTTACCACATAACCTTGGACATTTCTTTTGAAAGATGCCTGAGATTGCTTCTGATGCCGTTTGTGCCTGAACTCGTTTCCTCTGCTGTAAATCAGGTCTCTCCTGCAATGAGGTTATTTGATTAAATGATAAATCTGGTGGTATTCCGTATGTTTCTTATTATCAGAAATCCCATTAAAAGACCAAAACCAACTGTGAATGTCTCAAACTAAGAAGTATTGTGTGTGTCTCCTAAGTCTGATATTATTCCTCTGTGTAATAGAGCTCCATTGTTTCCTCAAACTATTAAAAACACATCAGTGAACCACACTGTTGCACTCGGTGACATGTTGCTTCATTACCGTGAACACACACAGACACACACAGACACACATAGTAGTTTATTTTGACTCAACCCCACACACTGTCCTGCTGCGCCAAATCCGCCGCTGAAAATAGTCCCCAATAAATGCTCTATTTCCTCCTGTTTGTTTGTTAAAAACTACTTTTTAAAAATGAAACTACACGCTTATGAGCAGTTTTTAAACAACCAATGTACCGGAGGCTGAGAGCCACAGATGGAGGGAAGTCAATAGATATTGAAGGACGGACAAACACACTGTAGGTTTTGGTCTTTTTATGGGATTTGTTGACAGTAAGAAAATATAGAATAACACCAGCCTTCACCTTTAGATGATATAAATAAACCAGACATGGAAACACACAACAAACTGCTTCACTCTGACGCTGACAGTGGCTGACGTCTGGCTCTTTGATGCTACAAAAAGGGACCAAACAAAGGAAGATGTTCCATTGTAACGTGCACAAAGAGAAGGCGTGTGCTGTTTACCAGCTGAGACCATATGGACATTCCTGACGTGCACCACCAGAGGAATCCGACGCCTGCATCAAGTTTGGAAGGAGAAAGAAAAGAGATGGGGTGTCCCTCCATCCCTCCCTCCCTACACTTTCCAAGGCTCTTTCACTACCACGGACCCCAGTACACACACATGCATACAAACACACACAAACACACACACACACACGTCCATGTTCTTTGTGGGTAGCGTGTGCCGCCCGCCCCTCCTCTGCTGAGGGGAGAGAAAGAGGCATCAGACAGTGGCACACTATCTTATTGTGCTTTCCTTCCCTCCTTAATCCACTCCCTCTCACCTCCCCTCTCCTCCCTCTCCCCTTCACACACACACA